GGTGTTGGGTGGTGAAAGCCAAGTAAGAGATCGAAAAGGAAAAACCTGAACTAGTACTCATCCCATGTGACCATGAAACAAAGACAGCACTGACAAGATAGCTACAGTAAAAACATAGCTAAAAAGCCACTTAGTTATGTCTATTGACATTTTTAGACAAAAATATGAGCAGAATGTTTTAAGAGAAAAAGGATAAAATATTCTAATTGCGTTGACTTTCTACTGTCAGGTTCTCAACAAGCCGTTACTTCTCCAAATCGTGAAATTTGGACGCAACCTATTGCTTCCACTGAACACAGAAGACTACATCCATCCTTCAAGTTAGACCACTCAGAAAGCTCCTCCAAACAAATGAAAGCTCCACCACACAAATATGAAATAAAAACATGAATAACTTGAAATTATATTATTTACCCTAACAACTACTTACAGCTGAATTTCGGCTACCTATCAAGTCTCTAGTATAGGCTAAATGAAGAAGGTATTTGCTAACATAGAGCAAGTCATCAGCTAAGGTCTCATTCAGTTGCATTTTGCCTTCAAATGTAATAACAATAAAGAAGTGAAGAGAATCCACAGAAGTACTGGAGGAAAGCAAAAGCAAATTTATAATTATTACAGGATAGAAGTAAGCTGAAACGGAAGTTCTCTTGATAAAAAGCAAACTCTGAAATTTCTAAATGACTGACATCTAGCAACTCTTTTTACCTCCGGAGGAGCTGGCTGAAATTAATTTAAATTTTGTTTTCAGCATCATGTCATCAGATACCTCAAAAGTCAGGCTTTGTTCCCACTATGAATGTTTTTGTATATGGCAGGAATGGTAATCAGTGTAACATTTAGGCTTCCTCCTTAGGCTTTAGCATTTTTGGCAAAAGAAGCGAGACAAACAAGATTGGCAAATATATATTCTGAATGCCTGACATAGCATTATAGTTCTAAGAATGTTAAGGATTGGAACAAAACAGTGCGATTATTTTTGGCTGGCACAATACTTCAGAATTACACAATGACATGAAAATTCACTGGGAACTATCTGTGCAGGTGGATTACTAACAAGTTCTGAATGTCTAAAATACAACTTAATATAGTCTAGGACACGTATACAAATTTGAGATCCCAAACTGATAAACAGAATACATATGACCTGAACCTTTTAAAGAAATAATATGTGATTTTGACTGTGCTCTATACTAGAACACGGGCTCTGGTGCTCTGTACGCTATAATGATGGATCTAAGTTTCAGGAAACGTACAAATAAGCTTCCCTAAGGTGCCAAAGGTCTTAAAGAGAATCTTCCCTCATTTCTTTACAGAATTTTTGTGGTGTTAAGATCACTGTGTTTCTACGGCCTAGCTGGACAAATACATTGGTTTCATCCACTCTTGTACCAAATACAAGTTAACTCACATAAGCTGTTCGTGAAGCTGTGGACCTCAGGCATGTTTTTATCTACAGTTTTAAATAAGCTTGGAGCTCGTTTATGAGATCTACTAGTCTGGCATCATTCTTGTGGAATGTGGTAAGCTCTCACTAGTATGGAATCAGAGGTTAGAGTGCAAAACCTGATCCCAGTAGTGACTGAAAACGTTCCAATCTGGAATATGAAGTAATACAAAGAGATGAACAAAAAAAACACCTTGAAGTTTGAGAGCCCATCTTGTGGACCTAATGAGGAAATTATATGCCAAGTGGTGCTACCAGTAAGAATGTAAATGGACAGACCTGCTGACACATAGAGGGACAAAGAAAGCTGGCATTTCCCTTTTACCTCTTGAATAGGAATAAAACGTCTGATCTCTGTACACTGAGGATACCTTTTCTGCTATTCTGTCACCTAAATGAACACTGACATGTTGCTTCAACAGAATCTTGCCACAAAGGTGTGGACGAGAACAGTAACTCCAAAGCAGAAATTCACTGAAACTACCTGTAATGCTCATTGCTCATACTCTCTTGCAATCACTGAACCTGGTGATTCCAAGTCAGGTTTCCTGAGAGAAAGTCCATTACTAGAAGCCGGAGAGGGTCATTTTGTGTGGCAGCCTATGCTTCTTTTCCTTTGCAGCTCACACAGCTGAGTCAAGCAGTGCAAAATGGTGTCATCTGCTTTTTCCTTCACAATGGAATGCATAAGTTCACTGAAAACAAAGAGGAGCTCCAAATTCTTAATGAGCAGAGAGTTTCACTAGTCTTTGAACTGAAGGAGTAGTAATCTTTAAATGAGAGTTATCTTCATCAGCAACAGTCTTAAGGGCATGGAGGTGCCCGTACATCCAAAAGCATGTATGGGCACACTGCACACAAGGAAGCATGATATACAGACATTTTGGCTATCATCTGCCTCTCATCATATAGATTTTATTTCTTCCCACCACTCTGTGGGAGCCTTTTCATAAACGGACAGCTTGTTTTATTAAAGTTAGCCTTACCTTGACAGAAGATATGGTAACTGTCAACACACATTTAGCGAATGACAGAGAAGATTTCTTTGCCAAATGAACCCTGATTTACTCTCCTTTTTGGTTAAGACTTATTTTAAGCATTCCTTTTTGCTTTATTCCTTCCCAAACATCAGTCATGAGATGCCAACCTAGTCTTGGGTGCAAAGAAAGCCTTGGAAAGAAATATGGCATCTCTAAAGTGCCAAAACCTGATGCTACAGATCTATTACCACACAACCGCTTGTTAAATGTTATGCCAAGTCTATCAGGCACAGAATAGCACAGAATATGTAACACACTATTTGGCTTTCTAGACACAATTTCCAGGAAGAATTGAGGAATCTCAGCTTCATGCATTTTTTCAGGTTTTGAAGTGCCCTAAAGTCATCTTCTGGATTGATCATCTTCTAATCTAGCAAGATCAGCTGCTTTCTCAAGGAAGGACAACAAATTACTCTAGAGTTAATTATTCTTCCATCTTTGCTTCTTGATTCTTTTCATTCTTGCAGAAAAAAAGATCTAACAGAAAAAGGCACCTATCAGGACAGCAGATGATGTTGCACATGAACGTATATCCTGAGCTGGTCAGGAGTGATAAACACAGAATAATGAATCGGCAGAAAGAGTAAAAAATTACTGAAGGATGTTACCTGTTAGACCTCTACCATTTCCTATTGAAACAGTGGTGTCAGGACTCCATCCAGGACTATTTGAAATTGAACAAAAATGGAGACAGAGTCCATGACAAGTCTGTATCCCAATAAAGAAGCACAAAAATAAGAATATTAATTTTAATTTTCTACTGAGATCTTGCATCCAGAGAGAAAACACATGATATCAATGTCTCAATTTTTGCTTTCAACGTCATATTTGCAGCAACTGATTGCCTTCTTAGGACTTTTGGTGATGTATGAATTAGCAAGGCAAGTTTGGATACTGGATCCTCTGTACCAGATACACTGTGGACTGTAAAAGGAATGATAAAAAATTCCTATAAAATCTGAAAACATAAGCATCAAAAAAGTCAGTCAATGGGCTTAAGTACTACTGCAGACACGCTTTTTATGAATTCTATCAAAGCACAGAAATATCCGTCTTAGACCAGTAGGTGCTTTCTTGCTATGCAGCTTAAGTAACACTCCTTGATAAAGGAGGGAGAGTTAGGTCTCACTGGAAGATAAGATAAAGAACTTCTTACAGAGAAGAGAAATCTACAAGAGGGCCTTAGACAGGCCTGAACTACAGAGAACTATGAACATTCACCGCTTGCTGTAACAAAAGATATGTACAGCAGTAAGGAGGGGTAATGCAAAATTCTGCATACTTCATTCACATCTGATGTACATCTTTCAGTCTGGATGATCAAAATTTTGCATCTGTAAAAATACTCTACGAAAATGTATTAAAAATAAGCCATGAGAAAAGAACATAGAGAGAGAACAAAAATCGACTTTTTTTTCCTAACATAATTTCTAATCACTTCACCTCTGAACAAAATGCTGGAATAGTCATATACAGACTCAGAAAAAATACTCCATCAAGTTGAAAGAGTGCCTAGAATTGCTTACCTTAGAGGAAAAAAATTGAGGTATAGGCTTCTATTGATCAGAAGTTGGCTTTTTTGGCAAATTCGTTATTTTAGTATATAGCTTGCTCCTTCATGTTTAAGGCAGCATACCAGTATCAGTTTAAAACAGAGCATAAATTCCTGCTTTAAGCTAACAGAGATAGCTCTCTGAATATAAATAATCTAGTTTAAGGGTACACTAACTGCATGGTCAGGCAAAGACGTAGAATAAAACTTTTGTTAAACTTTTCTGCTGCTTATCTCACTACAAAATGGCTTGTAATTCAATGCTGCTCTTACCCCAGGACAAACACACTTCTGTTTTTACCACTACCATACAAGGCAACAGAAAAACAGCCCCGCCTCTTCTCTGATTTAAGACAGTGAGTGATTTTTATTAAAAAGTCATAAGGTTTATTCAACATGTCACTGGAATGTACCTACTGCCTCACTGTTCATCCAGTTGGTTATCACCAAATTCTTAGCCTCCAATCACTTGGGAAAGCACCGTGACCTTTTAAAGGGCCAGAGCAGAGTAAAATCCAGTGAAACATAACTACCTCCTCTAGAAAAGCTGTTTCCATCCTGCTGGCAAGTTTTACATAAAATGGCTGCTTCAGCAAAGCCTGACTTCAAAGAAAAATACCACTGGCAAAAAAACATCATGGTAACACAGGAGAATAAAATGTAGTCAAAATAAACAACAACAACAACAATCACACCAGTAAATCAGAAAGCAAGCAGGACAAAATATATAACACGGATGCTGAGAGGGAAAAGAAAAGACAAGTAACTGACAGACAATTCAGAAATACATTTTACACTTCTAGTTTATTTACATGACAGAAATGAATGCTAATATTAGACTTGATTATCTATACAGAAGAATCATGTAATAACGTGACTGTTTTCATTTGGCACTTAGGCTTACCTCACCTGTTTTCATCATAATACTATAACTTTATTTTTTAAAATTACCCAAATTTACCAGATTCCATGGTCATCTGAAGTAATCCATCAAGAGCACTGGAAAGCAGACCTCTACGGGATATTTTTAAGTGACTTAATATGACAGGCACACATTCATACTCCAAAAATAAAGACTTTCCTTCATCTGTCTTCAAGTCTACGCAAAGGGAATCAAATGCCTGAGCCAGGTAATCTGCTGAAAGATATCAGAATGCAGGCAAAAAAAAAATTTATAATCACAGTTCTACTAAACAGCACATGAATAGCTATCCTGAGACTTAGTGTTGCAGATGTATACTAGAAAAACAACAAAAAGTTAAATGGCTGAAGATATTAAGTTGACTTTTATTTAAAAATACCCTCTGCCTGTATTTGTTCCTTAACAAATTTGTTGTGTTTTAACTCAAAAAAGTGGACAAAAAAGCTGACTACAACCCGTATGTCGAAATAAAACGTACTTACAAAAACAGAGTCTTTCTAGTATTTTACATAAGAGAGAAAAGAAATTACAAATTGATGCCATTTGAGACTGTGTTGATTTCACCATCTGGAAAACCTCTACCGGAGCAGTAAAGGTCTGGATCATCTGAGTAAGAGCAACTACCAACATTCCTTTTCATAAAAATCTGTAGAAGTTCCAGTTGCAGTGCATACATTTTATATCTCATCCATTTCACAGTGCACTAAATTATACCAACAATTTAGATTAAATGAACCTGTCTCATTTTCTTAATATCCTGATTTCAAATCTTTCTCAGTACCTAGGTATAACACTGATCCGATGAAATGCAAAAAGTTAAATATATGGAAACAATTTAGCCAGCAGCAAAAGTTTAATTACAGCGCCACCTGCTGGATACTGAAATGTTGAAAGAAAACAGAAGATAAACGTTTACGCCACATGTGCTACTTTGAGTAGGTCATTAGTGCCATGTTGTCAGAGTGATCAAAAATCATACGTAGTAATTTTTTACTATGTTTAACATCAGATCATATTTTCCCTTTTATACAAGCTAGCAGTAAAAAGCAATCATGAGAAGCGGAACTGATTCACTCCAATCACCACCTTTCATCTGCTTAGGGTAGCGACATCTCTGCAGCGACATCTTTTGTGTTGCAATTGTTTTTGCACCAATTTTAACAAACACTTCTAAAGGTATGAATCTCAATTTAAAAGTCATCATCATACTTCCTCAAAATATACTGACTGAAATTATTCCCTCTGGTAGCTCAAACACTATACTTGCCCATTAATGGTGTCAGGATGGTCTTCAAGAATGTTTAAATCCTCTGTTTACTGTAAGTACTCACAATATAAATACAGCACAGGTCAATTAGGCATAAAGACACACTAATGTGCTTATCCACTTAATCCTGAGGGATCACTTCCAGGAATGGGAATTTTGTTCAATATCAAGGGAATTTAAATCTTTGGCATCCCTGTTAAGGTCAATCAGGCTGCCAAAGATGACAGCAGTATTGTGATGTGGATCTCTGCTTCCTAAGAACTGGCCCAAAACATGTACAAAGACTGATGAAGAAAAAAATCATGTAAAAGACTGATTAACAAAAAGAAAAAAAATCAGATGCCAAAGCAGAAACTGACATTTTGGCATGGTTTTGCAAGGTTAGCCTGCAAACGAACACCTCTGTAACCCCTCTCCATCTCTTCATGTCACTTGCCAAGAGGATGCAGAACCTCCAGTTTTCAAAGTCATTTTAAAATACTGAGAACAAAAACAGAATCATCCAGTAACTCAAGTCAGAGGTCACCTGGTCCAACTTCCTGCCCAATGCAGGGCCATCTTTATCAGCTTGCTCACAGTCATAATCATACTGCACAAGCAAAAATGATTGTGTTTTGATGTTATCAAAATGATTTTTATTTTAAAAATGTCTTCAAAAAAGGAAAAATAAGGGCCTTGTAACACAAAGAGCTGGAAATGGGTTATAGAGATGCTCACTTTAAGCCTTGTAGACCTCATTCCTACATAAAATCCCTGTTACACAGCATCATGGTACTGTTTAAACAGCTGCAGGTAGGCAGCAACCATCTCTTATACCTGTTCTGAACAGCATATAATTACTGTCTTCCTCCTGCCTTCCGTATAAAGGATACAAACATCTATTGTTCCCTATTTTCCTTGAAGGGTGAACAAGCCAACCCTGAAGGCAGCAGCTAATAAATCAGCTGAAAGAAGTTATTCTCTTCTTTGAGATGCTTTTTTCCACACTTTTCTTCACCCTGTCCAGATACAACGCGAATTCTTGTTAACTCTTAGTGTGTATTTTGAAACTTTTGCCTTCTCTCTCAAACTCAAGTGGCAGGGAAGACCCAATTTCCCCTATTTCTTTGCCAACACAGAACTATGTTGGTTGCAAGTAGAGAATTCTGTTTTACGCTACTATTATACTTCTTTTCTAGTGAGGAAGGCGGGAAGATCCTGGGAACAATATGGAGGGAGGGGAAAAAAAAAATGATGCACCTGTTCCAACTACCTTGATCCCTAGCAGGCAGTGGAGGCTGTCTGGACTACTCTGTTTAAGAGGCTATTTGACTTTTATTTTCTTTTAAGAAATAAATACACAAAAAAATCAAGTCTTTATACAGTCATAAGCTCAGCTGGATAACCAGAGAGCATTACAGCGCATTCCATCCCCAACAAGCGAATCGATTAAATAATGCATGTTCCTAAACAATAATAATTTTCTATAAGCTTGTCGCATGTGCAACTCCAGTTCGGCTGCAGTAGTATGAAGCTTAGATAGAATACCTATAGATGAGTACAATGATTTGAAGATGATCTAGGACGGAAACTTATCGCAAGACTTTTAGGTTTTCCTGCCTTTGTGAAAACTGTACTGGAAGCTCTACTTCCTTTCTAACTAACATAACAGAAAACGGAGAAAGACGTTTAGGGTTCAGAGGGGATGCTTTGGCAAACAAGATTGCTTTACAGCAATCAGTCAGTCCATTACTGAATTACAACAGTACTGTCAAACAAGAAAGCTAACTGCAGAAGTCCAAATAAGACATTCTTTTAGACCACTCATCAAATCAGCAGATTTCTCAGTGAAGAAACTTTAAGCATAAACTGGAAGCAACAAGCATTACTGTGCAATATTCAAAGAAGTCATATTTAAATTACAAATAGATAAGAACTTGTTCAAATGACCAAAGTTAATCTGCAACTTAATTCAAAAAATACCACTACGAATCAGATTAATTGACAGTTTTCTTCCTACACAGGAGAGTGTATGAAAGGAAGTGGTAAAAATACGAGTTTGTGCCTCTTCTCAGAGTATTCAACACTCACAGTTCATTAGAAATAGCCTACTTTTGTCATGCCTTTGAAGAAAGGGCTTTTAGTCTTTTCAGATCATTTCTCTTTTCAAAGAAGGCCCTGCTGAGAAGATCTGCCATGGCATCCTAGAAACTCTGCACAAGTGGAACAACTGTAATGATCTTAAGTAGAAGTTAGTATTTTCAGTGCTGTATTATCTCTCGACAAGAGGAGGTATGACCTTATTTGTCTTCTTATTAATATCATATATTGCTAATACTACATCAGCATACGTATTTTAAAAGATTTTGGGAGAAAATGACAGTTTGCTTGGTAGATAGGTAGTTTGGAACTTTAAAGTATTTTTATTTAACAAAATGAAAACCAAATGAACAATCACTCCAAGAAATGACTATTTCACAGAGTAGCATTTTTCAGTGTTGGTAATGTTGGACGGGGAGCCATTCACAGTGATGGAATGAATAGGAGAATAGGGGAGACAGCAAATAGGTAAGTGCTAGGGTACGAGCTGCATGCTTACACCCAACATCCAAGCAATTTCAGGACAACAACTCAGTCCAACTAAGAACTGTAATCCATTACAGAAGCTGCTTTCTATCTCTATACACGCTTCTGATGTGTCTCTACGGGTAGACAGACATCAAATTTATCAATTAAGACAGATACATCATTTATACCTAGCTATATCAGAAAAGCAACATCAAAGACTCTGCAGCTGATCAACTTTTCAGGGGATAGGTAAATAACCTACTAGCTTAAAAAAGACAAAGAAGCCCTAGAACTGTGTGAAATTTGGCACTTATTTATTTCAGCTTACAAAAGAGCAACTAGCTGGACCACTCTGTGCAGTAAAGTTCTTGGAAATCCAATCACTCCTATAGTGTCCGTTTGACAGGATTATCAACGGATCTTTTCCCTTTCTTCAGAAATGTTGATCCCTCTGACAACAAAAATTCATATTAAAGCGATCATACACATTATAACATGTAATTAATAATAGCAAGGCTCATATTTGTTCTAGCATATTTTGCTTCACAAGGTGGTTAAACTTGAATAAAATACCCTTTACAAATAAAGCATATCAGACACTACAGTGCAATTGAACTGGTGGACCCTGAATATTTGGTTTCTGTCCAGGCACAGGACTGAAAGTGGAAGAGAGGAATAAATAAATAAATAAATAAATAAGTCAGAACTTACCTTGTGTCACTGTCTTGAGCACAACTAACGTTGACAGAAACCTCAGAGGCATAAAGGAACTCTTAAAGAAAGATGCTGATTTTGATTTACTCTCAGTAGACTGTTCAGAAGAACTATGCAGGTTTCCCTTACTTGCTACGCCTTTGAAAACTTCTTCACCAAGTCTCCTCATCGTTGCTGTCATTGCTGCATGCTGTTAAGAACAATGCATTCATTTAGCGTAAACATTAAAACACATGAAAATTAGGTCCACTATGTTCAGAATATGTTCTACTAGGGATTAAAGATTAAATAGCAAATGCTTTGACCCTTTATCGCAATATAATTCTGTGCAGGAGATACTACTTTGCGTTCCAAAAGCAGTCCAAGAGCATTAGCAACACACACCACACAGCAAGACCAGTCAGTAAGGGCATCTGATGTGCCGACAGTACTTAAGTTTCCTTTGGTTCTAGAACAAGCTGAGTTTCAGTCAGCCTCGCCTACTACATTACACTCCGTTTTCTGGGGATGCTTAAAGTTATGTACTGTAAAAGCATTGACAGAATCAGGGCTGAAATATAAACCCCAAGAATACCGCACACGCAAGATCCTATCAGATTTTCATTATAAATTATACAGAAACGCTACTTCAGAACGAAACTTAAAAATATGCATGTTTAAAATGTAGTTTCTTACAGGCACTGAAACAAAGAGCTTACTATTCTACAGCGCTTTAGCTCAAGATACTTAAAAATTCTTCCAACTTTTGCTGGACCTATTGACAGTGCGATGCAATAACTGACTATGTCCTTATACTGTGGCTACTCTCTTTTTTCTTTATTGTACTACTAATTATTTCCTTACATTGCAGGAGTCCAATCAAAGGAAAAAATGAATGTCCTGTGGTTAAGCCACTGAGCAGAGAACAAAGAAGTCAGAATTCCATTTCCCCTTTGCCATACATTCTCCATTAATTTGAGCAAGTCTCACTCATAAAATGGTCCTAAAATACTTCCTCTTCTAGTTCACAAGTTTATTGTAAAGACATATGTAAAAATATCATTTCTGAGATGCTTAGATACAACAGAGATAACCTACGTATGTAAAAACCTGCCATGTATCTGTGGTAAAGAACCTGAATTTATACTTTGCAAAGACAGAAAGGTATGCACCATCTGAAAACATCAATTTTTCATATATATTTAAAATACAAAATACAGGAGTATCTTCTGGGAATTTAGTATTAAAATAAGATATTTTTAAGACTACTATTTGTTTTACCTGCATACCACTGTCTAGCTGTCTTATAGACCAGTAAATAAATTTAATCACAGGCATGTGTAGTTTAGGATTCACAAATGGCATCCATTGCAGTTGCTCAGCAACTACAGGCAAAAGCTGAAAAACATATAAAGGTAAAATTACACGCAGTGTATGAAGTTATTGTGCAAACTAGCAATAATTATTAAAAAAGAACTGAAGAAGAAAAAACCCCAACCTCCCCCTCCCCCCGAAGAAAAACATCTTGGAGAATAACAGATTGTATACGCAAACACTCACTGGGCAGAGCTTGTACAGGAACAAGAATTATACACATACACAGATTTTAGACTATATAGGGGTTTACATGTAAAAGTCAGGATATTTTCTGTGAGCTCCGCCTCAGCATGTGCAATCCCAATGGCTGCCTTTAATATAATGAAGAAAATTAATTGTAAAAGCATATTTTCTGAATACCTCATCAATTTCCAAACGTTGCTATCTCCAGAAAGAAGAAGATGAGTGTTAAAGATAGCATTAATACTACTTGTTATAGGTCACTAATTGAATCTTTCAATATAGGTAATAAAGTATTTTAAACTAGACCTGCACACACGGCACGCATTCCCAATACAAGATATTATCAGCTGGCAAAAGTGAATTGAGGTAGAAGACAGACTGGAACTTTGAAGCTGAGACTGAACACTGCACTTACTTTTCCTAAAAGTGATCCATATACATGTATTCGCATATATATTACAATATATTTAATATAAATGACCAATAATACTGATTAACTACGCTTTTCTAAAATCATTTCATCCAAAGCATGTATAAAATAGGCAGATATGCTATACTCAAGGCTTTTTTTAAAAAACAAAACACAGAAACCCAAGCAAATCCCTTTACCTTCATACACTTTTCCTGGGTGTAAGTTTTTTTGGAGTTCTGGGTAAACAGAAGTTTATGACTGTCCTCTCTTTCTTCTTGTATTTTTATTTTGCTAAGGTGCTGGTCTGAGATCCAATCCATAAGAACAGTTAAAAGCTCATAAACTTGTGAATTCAGTGGTACCTGTAATAAACCCACAATGTTAGATGTTTCAGCTTCCAAATTTTTCATTTGCAAAACCAGACTATTTTCCATGGTAACAGATTGAACTATATCAGAGTACACTAGTTCTGAAACATTATGCACAAGTTGAGGGAGGATGAGCATATGCCTGATAAAATCTGGGAGTTCAGTTATTATTTGCAGTGGTTTCTGAGTACAGAAAAATGCACGCATACTTTATTTCCAGATGTATGACCTCCATTGCTTAATTTCATACAACCCACTGTTATTACAATTTAAGTGGGTAACTAGCATTTAAAAAAAAATATAAGACAGACCTCATGAAATTGTCACTCTGTCCCTTTAAAGTGGCTGCACTGAAATACGCTATGAAAAATATACAAAGGTACCTAAAGTGTGGCTGCATGAACAGTGTGAAGACTTTTAAAGTTTTCTTGTACCTAGCTTCATAGAGCAGTTTTCCTTTTCACTCAGAATTATAACTCATGATACTGCTTTATTTCATTTAATCAAAGTACATTAACACATATGTAAGCCTGCTGTTTACACGATATTTGCATTGTTGGCTATGTAAAGATACCATCTTCTTAAGGCATCTGATATCTATTCATTAAGTAGGATGGCGTAAATGCCTCTCTTTCTTTGTCATTTCACTGTTTAGTCTCTGGCTGAAAAAAAATCATTACCAGTGTGGAAGTGTTGGCAGAGTACTGCCAGAGTAGTTGCTACTAAACGGAACAACAGAGAGACAGAAAGTACTTCATTAAGGGATATAACGTGATGTTTCAAAGAAGAGGTAACTGTTTTGCAACTGTGTACAAACACCGTGTTTATTCTCTTTCCCCCCTTAAAGACTATTTCTCCAAAAAAAAAAAAACAGCAATAAAATGGACTCTGGCTTACAAAATTAAAATTCTTTACCTGACATCTGACTACTTAACTTTTTCAGCTGAGATATTGGTAAGAACAGTGCTCACACTGTAATAATAACCAGAATGCATTAAGATTTGCTCTGACACAGCAAAATAAACCAGTTTTGCTTAAGTAGGATATAATTTCAAGAAGGATAATGAAAGATAAGGTGAGAAGAGGAAAATACACAATATAAATAAACAATATACAAATATACAATATAAAATCCAATGAACGTTAACAACTGATTAAACTTAATTCTTCCAGTTAACTGCCTTTTCTGCCAGTATAATCTATCTGCCATTATCGTAACTAATTCACTCTTAGAATAAATTTGCAAGTTACATTTTCTAATTTCTAGAAGGTATAAAGAACGTTCCATGGTATAAAGTCTTCAGAATGCATATTCTACCTTGCTCAACTCTTACCTTAGCAATTTTTGATGTTACTGTCCCTTTTTCCTGCTTGACAGGCTTGCTTTGTTGCACCACTTGACATATATCTTTAGACTTCTGTACCGTTAAAAATTCATGCTTCCTCTACAACAAAACATAACAACGAATTATATTTCACTTGTTTCCTATAAAGGAAGCAGGTACCTGTAAGAACAGACCTTACCTGCAGATTCTCTAAACGAGCTTGTACTTTTCTTGCTTGACCTTCCAACTTTTTGTTCAGCTCACTTACATCACTTAACTGAAAGAACCAGAAAATAACGTCAAATACCTATAGATTCAAAATTCATTTCTTTACTTAATCATCACCCTAAAATCATTTAATGCTTGTTGCGGAGCAGCTGAATGATTTAAAGTTCAAGTTTCTTCTTCTGAGTATGTACAGCTATAAAAACAAAATCATTATCCACTTCCTTAAAAAATAAGCTCTTTGTTGATCTGCAGCCTTATCCTTCCAGTTTTTAATGGAAGAAAAAGCACTATAAATGCCTGTTTAAATATACAGGCACTACACGTTTATTGACGTATAATTACTTTTTCAGGAAGAGACAAAGATGGAACAAGAATTTCAGAAACGGTCTATAATTCACCTTGGAAAGAGGAAGGTTGAAGCTTTCCTTCTCTACAGGATAAAACAATTAGACTGACTATACCACAAAAATTGCTTGCTCTGTGAGAAAAGAAATACAGGAACCTATTACCTCCATTTAGATATAAGAAATATGATCTAAATACACTAAAAGGAACAGTATGATTATCATGGAAGCCCCCTAATTACTTCATTCATAGTGTCAGTACATTTGCTACGTTACAGATCTTGTTAACATGAAGAACATACTACCATTGCAAAAACTGCCAGGAGAAAAAACCTACAGATCTTATAGAGATTAGGAAGCAGTACAGATTTTTATCACGCTCAGAGTATCACAGCTGTAACTGATTCACTGAAAGATCAACAGTCAAATAGTTTAGATAGCACTCTGTGTATCAGCATTTTAGGTCAGATTTAATATTCAAGTGAGATAAAAATTCTAACTCTGTATTACTGTGAATTACTGCCTCAGCTTGTCTTTAAGAACCAAGAAAACACTGCATCGGTTAACATTTGTAAAAACAACCGAAAACATCGAGCAATCATGAATGTTAGAAATACGCATTATGTTTTGGTTCAACAGAGTCAACAGAACAATTCAGCACAGAGTACGTTCTGTTATATTATTCTACTATATTATAGAACACTTTCTCTCCATTCAGTCTCAATTCGTTCAGAGCACGTAGGTTTGTCCTTCCTCAGAGTCAGCTGTTGCTAGCTGGGCAGAGGAACAAGTCCAACTTTGTAAATACTGAAAGATCAGATAGGCTAAATTGTAAGTACTACAAAAAGGAACAGAAACTACTTTGAATTAATCACAAGATTCTTGTCTTACAGAAACACAATCTATAATTTTGCAAATTTAAGCTGTTTGAAACATTCAAAATTGTTGACTGTAACAATCAGAATTATCGAATACAGGAAATAACCAGCTTGCCTGTTTTCTTAAGGAGTCATTCATTTCCTTCAAGGTGTCAAACGATGACTTGAGCCTCCTATTTTCTTTAGTTATTTCTCTTAAGGCTTCTGTCAGCTGTTTCACCTCTGCCTCATGTTGCTACAGAAATAAGAGATTTTATGAACACGAGGAATAACAATACAGTATTTTATAAACAATTTTAAAATAAGTACCTTTTTAGTGTTAAACTTCTAGGACTAACTTTCAAAGATCAAGCCTGTAATTCTACATGGCCAAGCCTGCACGTGATCAGTAGAGAGCAAAAAAAAAAAAAAACCATTCCCAGTGCATGGCCTATTGGTCTTATCCTTTCTACGTTCTACCTAACACAGATCACATGAACATCTACATTCCTTAAATAAGTAAGATGTGGGAAAGGTTTATGAAAGACAAAGAATGACAAAGCTTTTGTTTATAGTATCTTTTTTTCCTGTATCCATCTTAACCAGAAATTTTAATCAATCATCTTCCGCTCTCCCCCACTCAAGTAGTCTGGCTACTGGAAAAGTTTTAGTTTGATCAAAAACCTCTAGCTATATTTACACACCAGCTAAATTTAAAAAATATTGAGGCTAAGCAGAGCAATAAGATAAATCTTTCAGTAAATAACATTCCTTGTCTCAACAGTTGTGAGAATTTTCAACTGGAAGAGAATATCTTCAGAACTGTCTTTTGTACCATAAAATTCAACTGCCCATTACTCTTTCTCTAGCCTTGTTTTCAGATTTTTAAAAAATCATGTTGGAAAAAAAATCTAGCTTTGAACAGATTTTAGAGGCTAATGTAGGAATTGATCTTAACAACGAAAAATGTTGCAGATGGTCTTCACTCAAACGAATGCTCAAATACTTCCCTTGAAAGAGTCAAACCTGAGGAGAGTCAAAACAATTACAAGTTAAGCACAACTGCAGATAAAATTGGCTTAATCTCAGGGGCCAGCAGGGGAGGGTTAAATTGACCAAAAACATTCAACACACTCAAGAAGAGCAGAATTGTAAGAACAAAAGGCATTGAGAAAAATGCTGTGAATGAAAACATTCAATTTTTCCAGATTACATTATATACTGCTTTATTAGGCCTGAGCATTCAGGCCTTTGACAATAATTACACAATGCTTCATAGTGGCTGAGCCACAGAAATTAGACCAAGAAGATTACTTAAGGAGTTTTTAATAGCTTAACAGCAAGCCTGCTCAGCATCTCAGGGAATCAGAATTCTGAAGGCAATTATTACATAGATGAAAATATTTCCTATTCGAGTCCACAGTTCTTCAAAAGAGTCACAAAATGGTTGAAGTTGGAAGGGACCTCTGGAGATCATCTAGTCCAACCCCCCCCTCTGCTCAAGCAGAGTAAAGAGGTAGTCAAAAAGGCTGTAAAAAAATCTAAATTGCATCGTTTCTGAAAGTTATTTCAAAAAAAGACAGGTTCAGAATGGCCGCTAAAAATAACTAGTTACATGGGTAGGAAGGAAAAGATTTCAAGGATTCCAGGAAACTTAAAGAAGAAAAAAAGTACATATATTTTTAAAAGCAAGTAATACCTATGGGCTTACTACTTTCTCTCATCCCTTTGCCATAAGTCATTTTTATATTACCTCCTCTAAATACTGTATGTAGCTGTAACAAAATCTACTCATTAGATAATAAAAATAGGTTTTAATTTCAAAGCTCTTACTAGAAAACAGAAAAATAATCTATGATGGTATTTTATGATCCATTAATATACGTTCTAAAAGCCTGAACTATGCTTTCTGAAGCTTTGGCTCCCTCTTTTTTAGTGCACAACAGCACATGCTACCTGACTGCATTCAATATGTTTATCAATGCAGTTCTTTCCTCACTGAAAAGCATGACTTGAAGTCCAATAGAAAAAAAAAAACACATTAAAACAAAGATGATATCAACTTCAATGAGCCTTGGACCAAGTTCTTATTCTTTAACATAATTACAGAAAATGGTAATTCTGTTTCGCAGCAACTTTTGAGGTTTAAAGTAGTGTTTCTAGGCAGACTCACTCTCAATCATGCAGAGCAAGAAACTAATCCTGTGACTAGTGTTCTGGTTTACAGACGCATATGAATTGCTAACTACAACCTACATATCCACTACCAGTTTCCTCACTCTCCTGAATCTGATTTCAGATCTAATCTTTTCGGATATCAGTGTATCACTTGAAGAATCTCAGATTTGATAAAACAACAAAGTTTTATTTTACTGAAAATAATCCAACTATTTATATTTATTACCCTTAATTTCTTCCCTGCCATGAATTCACTATTCCTCATTCACCCACTCAATTCTCTACTGTCCCATCTTCAATCACAGCCTCTTTCTGACATGTGCAAACGACAAACAAAAATAAAGCACAGTAAAAGGCTAAAGGAAGAAAGCCTTGAAGATCCTTTTCTATATTTCTGCTTGGAAGCCTAGTAACTTCCATCCTAATCATACACAAAAACCAACTACATCTCCTTTTTTCTCAAACACCTCTCTTCTTCTTCAGCTAACAGATTCAGAATGGCTGTGGGCAGGGCAGTCTTGTCTAAAGCACCAACCCACCTTTGCCTCAGAAGACGCGAAATGACAGATCCCCTTTCCATACCAATGCATGCGCAGCCTATATAAACATATAATTACGTGCACCCCTATATCCAACGCAGTATTTCACTTCTGTTTTCTATACATGTAAGACCTTTATTTGAGGTTCAATAACTACTTTAGGAAGAACTAGAACAGAATAACTAGTCCAAAAGTTAAGTAGAACTGATTCAGTCACCCAGCCATAGGCTGTAGGTGATGTCAGGCTATCTAAGCCATCCATTGCCATAATAAAATCAGGCCATCCCACTTTATATATATATAATTAACCGTGTCATTTCACCCCATCAGCTGTTTGTCTAACCTGTTTTTAAAGTCCTCCGATACCGGAAACACCACAGTTTTACCAAACTACTTTTTCCAATGCTTAACTTGATTTTGTTCTAGTTTTTCCTAATATTTAACCTGCATTTCCCTTGCTGTCAACTTAAACCTGTTAGTACTTCTCCCATCTAGCACAGACAGGAAAAAAAGATTAGTTTCTTCCTCTTTGTGGTAGCTTTTACATAGCTGAAGATTAGTATCTTCCCCCTTGATTCATCCTATATATTAATACCTGTGCATTTGTTTATCATCCTGCTTTTGCGCACATGGTACTTCTATTCGAATGTTCTACATTATACTCACGCCTTTGGAATAGCAGTCTACTTGTTTACAGGCCGTATCTTGGATTTGTGAAGATCAATTTTAATCCTAACCATCTCTTCCAGCATACCTCATATTCCCCCAACTTGCTATTTTCTACAAATTTGGTAAGTGTGTTCTCTTTCACCATTCATTACTGTAAATACTGAATGGTACTGGACCTTTATTTCATTCTTCCAGAATCCGCTGTGTACATTCTTGCAGCTTTACTGCGAAGTACTGGCAACTACTACCTCCGAACTGTTTCCCAGTCAGTTTTCCACCAACTATAATATTTTTCTCTACTTTATATTTTCCCAATATGCTTCTGAAAACGTCAAGTTTAAAAAGCTTTAATGAAATCAGGACATATGCAGAACTACTAGACCTCTATTAGCAATGCCTGTTACCTTGCTATAGTGGAAATCTGATCAATTCAACAACTTATTTATGATTAATACATGCTAGTTATTTAGCACATTTTCTTCTTCTCTGTGCTTCCCATAGTTTGTTTGATAATTTGTTCCAGGACTTTTTTTTTCCTCTGAGAAGAGACACTAAGTTGATGGGTCTACAACTCTTTCCCTTCTGAAAAGAAAGGCACCACATTTTCCAGTCTCTTAATAAGTCACTTAACCTCCACAAATTTTCATAGATAGCCAATGATCGTTTCATCAGCCAGCTCTCTAACCAGTGCGACATTCCTAAAGCCCAGATGATCTGAAATATCTGAGGTCCTACTCCTCTGACACCACGATACTTTTTGCCTTTTTAAAGTATATTCCATCCTCCCTCCACAATTTATGGGAAAGGTTTATCTGCACACTTCAAAGAAATTTAATTTCATAGCTTGTGGTTTTGACACAAAGTACACGCACTTTATAGACTTCTCTTGGCAGTCTGGATAGTAACCAAAGCTTTTTACAAGACTTAATTTCAGTAGCAAATCCCTATAATAACCAGGGTTAGATACTATCTCATCTCACAGCAAAATCCTATTATTTCATTTCTTCCCATACCCCCAGTGTTAGGTTGATCTTTTCTTCCTTCAAGGTTTTTGTGAGTTTTTTTTGCAAATACTCTTTGCAAAAGCTATTGTGTCCTATAACCTCACTGTCTTGAAACTTCTCAAGTCAAGCTATTTCAATTACAGCTCATGCAAAGATATTCACGTAAACTGCACAGTTATAGATTCAGTATCATAACTTTTTTCTCCAATATATATAATGAAGTCGTGTATTTTTTTTTAAAAGATGGGTTATCTTCTTTTCAAAATTGTAATGGTAGAATACACCTATATATCAGACTTAAACGCACCTTTCTGAAACAGAAACTGTACCAAAAACCATAACAATATTATTTTGTTCTGTCTTTTTTATCTTTTTATATATCTATCTTTCATTTGAGGATTTCTCACGTGGAAGAAATACGCGTTATATCCATTCAACACATGATGACTTAAGATGACTACAAACAAATTAAAGAGCAAGTACAGCAAACATACTATAAAATATATACCTCTTTTATTATTTGAAATTTTGTGTGAACTTCTTCTTCAACGCCTCTTATTTTGGCTAAAGCTGCTTCGTGTCTAAAAAGCAGTGCTTCG